CAGTGTTGCAGGCAGATGTGCAGGCAGATGGAAGGTCTTGCAGTGTTTACAGGGTGGTGGCTGGACTTCCCCTTCAGTGTCGCAATGCAATGTTCTCTCCCCTGCAGGCCTGCCTTTCTCCGGAGAGACCCAGTCTCGGGGACAGAGAACTCCAGTTAGTGCTGACTCCCTCCCCTTTTCATTAGCCACCCCCGCAGTCAGGAATCTGTTCCGTGGAAAGATTGCCCTATGTCAATATACCTCCGAGCCTCACACCATAAAAATGAGTTGGACAGGGAGACGCATAAGCACAGGGGGGCCCCGCTCTGCTTCCCGGAGCAATTTTAGTTTTAACCTGACATATAACAGAGTTTCCCAGTAAGTTATCCCTTGAGCACAGACTTTAGCATGTAAACAAACCTCTGGAAACCATGTTGGCAGAGTGGAGCCAGCCCTATGGCGTGACAACATGAGATGGCAAAGCACTACAATTGCCCAGGACACTGGAGTCAGATGGCTGGACCCTTGGATGCTAAGACTCTACAGCAACACAATGGTTCTGAAATCACGGAATTCTTCAGTCTAGGAGACGTCTGTTGCTCCCTCACTGACGGGTGGGCCAGGATGAATTTTTAGGTCTCCAGAGAATACCATCCACGTAAGGCCATTACCAGAGAGTCCCAGCATTTCCTTCCCCAAACCGGAGTCACCCTGGTTACATGGCAGCAGGCTGCTCTGGGCAAGGCTTGGGGGAGTGTTTCTAGTATAAACCCACGGATGTCCAGGCTTAGCAAAAATATTGCGAGAGACGTATTTGTTACAAAATGACTCATTCCTTATCTGAAATTCAGATTTAACCAGGTGTCCTGTATTCCACATGGCGACTTGGCATGGCAAGGCCCTTCCTAAAAGGGACCCAGCCCCCCTCCACCCAGGAACTTCAGGACTAGGAACTGGCTTAGATCTGATCATTGGGCAAGAAGCCATGAATCTCTTCCACATGAAAGCTAGGATTTTCTGCCTCAAGTCAAGCAGTACCTTAGTAAGTGGCCCATCTGTGTCCAGTCTAGGGATCCCCTAATCACGGCCACAGATTCCGTGGGTCAGAACTTTCTGGCTAGCAGTCCAGCCCAGGGCTTCCTGGGGTGACTGTGCCACCTTGCACCTCTGTTTAACCAGCATCACCGCCTGGCCTGTGCCCGCCCGGCCAAGGTCCCATTCCTCCCCCTGAGATCTAAACCTCGCTCCACTGCAGCAGCCCTTCTCCCAGCGCGGTCCTCAGACAGCAGCAGCAGCAGCAGCAGCAGCTGCACCTGGGACTGGTTAGAAATGGGAATCACTGCCACTGCACCAGGACTCCCACAACACACAATGAGGCAATAATTAGCTCCCAGTTCCTCTTAGACTTAGAAGCTAGTGAGTTAATTTGCTTCAAATTGCATAAGTAGGAAGTGGCAGACCCAGGACTTGAACCCATGTCTGTCTGGCCAACTCAAGACTTCAGGCTCCTAAACACACTCTCCTCTGAGATGCTGGGTCCGGACGCCGAGGGAAAGGCAGACAGAGTGCTTACAGCTGGGAGGGTTTGAGTGTCCTCACCCACTCCGTTTGGGGGAAAGTTTGGGACGGGCATGGGGGAGTGGATTCTGAGCGGTGAATGACATACAAGGTTCAATGGGCCAAAGTCATGGGCATGGGCCTACTTGCCCAGAATTCAGAATTGTATGTGTTGGCACCAAGCTGCCAGTGATGTGAATGCTCAGCGAGGGTGGCTAATGGGAGTGTAGACTTACACAGAAGCCTGCAGTCGGTGAGGTTGAAATTCTAGAACTTCCCTGGGAGGTTAGGAAGGCGTCTCTCTACACAGCTCAGGGAGGTGGATCTGTTGAAACTGACCTGTTCTGTGCAAAGGGCTCGGCCATCCCCTAACTGCACTCCGGGGAAGGCCAGGGGACATGTCCATTATGGGGGCGCTGTGAGGTATTTGGAGGAGGTCATGAGAGGTGGCCAGCACCCTGAAGAGCCCTCTGGTGGCTTTTCACTGTGTCTGAGAGATGGGCACGCGACAGCTGCCATTCCATGCTTCTCAAACTCCAGTGCACATGAGAACCACCTGGAGGGCTGGTTAACTGTCTACCTTACTAATACCGGCGATGCTTTCAGTAGTAAGGATGTCAACAGCTGTCGTTTTTGTGCTCCTAAAATATACGAGCAACCCACTCCCAGAACCCCATTTGGCAGGACCCCTCTGGCACTCAAACCTATGTCGGTCAGGGTTCCAGAAAGAAGCAGATGATGCTTACATTGGAATGATTTGAGGAAGATTTAATAAAAATGCTGTTTCCCAAGAGGTGGGCTGGGTGTGGAGAAACCACAGGGGTGCTAATAACAGGGCAATGACCACCCCTAGAGCTGGAGAGAAAAGAGCAGGGCAGGGCTCCCCAAAGCTGGAGCAAGCCATGGAGGGGGTCATGGCGAGGGAAATGAAAAACCTCAGTTGAGAGCTGGCTGCACCCAGGCTGAGGCACCGGGGAGATAGCAGAGAAATAAGTACCCCACCTTAACTCTTCTCCCTCCCCAATGCCCGAGGGGCTCCCCAGTGTCCGGACCCAACCTCAAGCCAAAGGACCTGCAGTCCCACTCCTGTCATCCACCAGGTGAGCTTCCCCAGCCACAGAAGAGGGTGCAAACGAATGGCATGTGTATCTAGAGACTCTAGAGCAGCCGTGGGCAAACTACGGCCCGTGGGCCGGATCCGGCCCGTTTGAAATGAATAAAACTAAAAAAAAAAAGACCATACCCTTTTATGTAATGATGTTTACATTGAATTTATAATAGTTCAACGCTCCTCTCTAGGTGGAGAGACAGTGCCACGGCCTGCAAGCTGAGTCCTTATTTTATAGCCAGATTCCTCGAGGTAAAGTAAGGGCGTGGTCAAGATGTTTACAACGTTCTCGAGAGTTTCCAATCTACTCAATTACATGCACTTGATCAAGCTTTGTTTACTTGCTGCACCTCCCGCAGCCCATGTCACTCAGCCACGTGGGAACACAGCTTTGGACCATAAGGACAAGCTTACAACTGTAGCCTTACAACGCTAGTGCTGGGACTTGCACGTGGCTTTGCCACGAGAGGATCGTACCCTCTCATTAGTCCCAGGCTTGAACCTGTCCAAACGCTGTAGCCGTTCTCCACCGTGTTTATTGACTTTTAGAGAAAGAGAAAGGGAGGGGTATAGAGAGAAACATCATCAATTGGCTGCCTCCTGTCCTACATGCGCCCCACCAGGGATCGAGCCTGCAACCTGGGCCTGTACCCAGACCAGGAATTGAACCATGACCTCCTGGTTCATGGGTTAATGCTTAACCACTGAACCACACCGGCCCAGCTCTTGTTGGTTCTCGACAAGTTTTTGTGTCAAAGTTATGTAAGACTCATAAAAGGAGTTGAAGAGTGTACACTGTTTTTTATATATTCTCTGGAAGAAATTGTGTAAGATTGAAATGACTGTTCTTGGAGTGGTTTGGAGGAACCAGTTGTTAAAGCCCTTGGGGCCCTCGGGTATGTTGTGGGGAGATTTTCACTTACTGATTACATTTCTTTAATAGTTTTAGAATTACTTCTTTTCAGCTTTTTCTTGCCGTCTGATAAGTTATGTTTTCGGGGGAGTTCATCCATTTCTCCTGAATTCAATGAACTGGCGTAGGTTCTTACCTTCTTGGTGTCTGCAGGCTCCGTGGTGATGTCCTGCTGTAGGCTATTTATGCCTTTTTTCCTTCCTTTCTTTTTTTTTTTCTTGTTTTGTTTTGTTAATCCTCTGCCAAGGATATTTTTCCATTGATTTTTTTCGAGAGAGTGGGAGGGGGAGAGACAGAGAAAAACATTGATGAGAAAAAGACACATCAATTGATTACCTCCTGCGCTCACCCTGACCAGCCTACAACCCTTGACTGGAATCCAACCCAGGACCTTTCAGCCCACGGCTGACACTCTACCCACCTAGCCAAACCGGCTAGGGCCCTTTTTCCCTTCTTCGTGGTCAGTCTCAGGAGGGCTTTAGCTTCATTATAGGCTTGTCAGAAAACCAGCTTTGCGTCACATCAGCGCTTCCTATCGCACTAATCTTGGCTGTTTGTCTTTCTGTCTTTTCCTCTCACTGGGCTTGTTTTGCTGGAGTGGAAAGACTCGCAAGAATGGACAGCAGAGGGGAGAGGATCCCAGGCAGGCACACACAGTGAGCAAGATCTGGGAGCCAGGAGTGAGCATGGCCAGCGGGAACCTCGGGCCAAGGCCTGGCCAGGCTCCTATGGGCGCCAGCGCTGTCCCGGCCCCACCCCCACTGCAGCCTGCCCCTACCTCCCAGCAAGTTGCACACCCCTCCCACCCGCAGCTCCAGAAACTCAATGGACATCCCTGACCACAGGGGCCTGGACGCAGCGGTGATTGTCAAACCCTAGCCGTCCGGGCCCGAGGTGCAGAAGGGCACCAGTCGTGGTGTGAAGAGGCCCTGTCCCCAGAAGTTGGCTTTGATTTGTCTCAAGTGCGGGACTCCCGCAATAAACCCGGCTCAGGAAAGGGCCTCGCAGCTCCGTGAGCGCTGGCAGCTGCCACGTGGGTCTGTGTGCACAGGCTCGTTTTCTCTGCCAGGCACCACTCACTTCCCATGGGAGGCGATGTCATCCCTGCGGCCACTCAGCGGTCCCCCCAGTGGGCAGGGTGACAGTGGCACGGAGACTGAACGCCTGAGGATGCGTGAAGCCCGCACGCCGCGCTCTTCCCCACGGGAGTGTTTTGCCTTTTGTTCTAAGCAAGGCCATGGGCACCTGGACCATGTCCTGCAGGAAGGAGGGAAGGAAGCTGTGCCCGCGCTGCTGCGGCCCACAGCTTCCCTCTTGCATTTCCTGGGAAACGCTTGGCAGCACAGCCACTGGCTCAGCAGATGTTGACACGACCTGCCCGGGCCAGCATCCCCAGGGGAGTGCCCACCCTCTCCGTTTCCTATAAAAGGCAGGCAGAGTGGCTGGAGGAGAAGAGGCCGAGATAAGCCCAGACGCCAACAACTCTCACGGGGAAGCTCTTATCCGCACGCAGCCTCCAGCATGAAGGTCTCCGCGGGGCTGCTGTGCCTGCTGCTCACCGTGGCCGTGGCCCTGGCCGTCCTCAGCGCCGAGGTGGTCGCTCAGCCAGGTAAGCCCCCTCCCCCCTCTCTCCTTCTCTCTGTTCTCTCTCCTTTTGGGAGGTCCTAAGCCAACATGCCCCACCTCCCAGCCTATCAGAGCAGCAGGGGTCCCGGGGAGCTTCGCGTTAACATCCAGTTGTAGAAACAGAAAGCAGAGCCCAGGTGGGGACAAGAGGAGCCCCACCCCCAGTCCCTTCCAGCCATGGCCAGGCCAGGATGAAAGCCATGCTGCCCACTCCAAATCCAGACCTTTTTTCGGGCCCCAGCGGATCTCTCCAAATTCTGCAGTCTGGGGGTCATAGCCAGGATGGGTCACTCTGGCCTCAAGGTCAGCCGTGACCTGTCCCCACCATGCAGCTGGGAAAACTGACTGCAAATCTTAAGCCTGCCTCAGGGCCCAGGGCGGGAGGGCAGGACCTGGGATGGGAGAGACCAGGTCTGCCTCCCTTGCCCTCCTCCCCCAAATGCTTCCTGCCACAGCCAGGCTGAGAAAACCTCTCGCCTCCTGAAGGGCTTCTCCTTGTGGCTTTGTTCCAGGTGCAATCCTTACCACGTCCACCTGCTGCTTCACATTGACCAACAAGAAGATCCCTTTGCAGAAGCTCAGGAGCTACCAAGTCACCAGCAGCCATTGCGCCCACAAAGCTGTCATGTGGGTAGAAAACCCTGCTCACCTCCACACCCACCTCAGCCTGCCCT